TGCACACCTGTAGTCCCAGCTACTCAGGAGGCTGAGGCAGGAGAATCACTTGAACCCAGGACGTGGAGGTTGCAGTGAGCCAAGATTGTGCCACTGCACTATAGCCTGGGTGACAGAACAAGACTCTGTCTCAAAAAACAAAAACAAACAAACAAAAATAAAAACGGTGAATCTCATGTTATGTTTATTTTACCACAATTAAAAAATTATGAAGAAATAATGGCCAACTACCTCCTTGTGAAAGACAGTGACTCACAGATCTAAGAATCTCAAGGATCCCCAAGCAGAGCAAATGCACAGGAAACTGCAAGACACAGAGTCAAACTGTTAAAAACCCAAGATAATTATCTGAAAAGGAGCCAGTGACAAGCAACACATTACACACAGGGGAGTAATGTTAAGAATAACGCTAACTTTTAGTCAGGAACAGTGGAAGCCAGAAGACAAAGAAATGACCTCTTTAAACATATCCAGGCCAGGCGCGGCAGCTCACACCTGTAATCCCAACACTTTGGGAGGCCGAGGCCCGGGCAGATCACCTGAGGTCAGGAGTTCAAGACCAGGCTGGCTAACATGGTGGAATCCTGACTTTACTAAAAATACAAAAATTAGCTGGGCATGGTGGTGCAAACCTGTAACCCCAGGTACTCAGGTGGCTAAGGCACAAGAATCGTTTGAACCTGGGAGGTGGAGGTTGCAGTGAGCTGAGATCATGCCACTGCACTCCAGCCTGGGCAACAGAGACTCTGTCTCAAGAAATAAACTAAACTAAACTAAACTAAAATAAATAAAATAAAATAAAAAATAAAAAATAAAAAATAAAATAAAATATCCAGCCAAAGTATCTCCAAAAACTAAGGTGAGGAGGCTTCCAGGTAACTAAAACCAATGGCCAGTGAGTTGTAAGCAACCTCCCCAAATCTCCTCTCAAATGCTATGAAGTAACTCCACAATTACGAATCTTCTACACAAAGCTATACCTTCAACACTGCCTTTAAGACACAGAGAATGCCAAAACTGCAACATAACTATAAGTACAATGAGAAAAAGCATTATATCTTAGCACCATGGTCCCACACATGCCGACTCCAAGGCTCTGTTAGGTAAACTGCAAGAAAGAGGGATAGCTGGTGGGGGGTCTGAGACACAGCTGGAGCAAGACCCTCAGACTCATCTACTCTTAATTTGAAAGTGCAAAAAAAAAAAAAAAAAAAAATCAAAACCCTGGCCACTCATAGGAGAACTGCAGGAAACAGACTTAAAACTATGTGTCATTTATGGGCCGCAGCAACTGTGTCTCATGCTGCTAATAAAGACATACCGGAGACTGGGTAATTCTTCAAGAGGTTTAAAGGGGACTCCCAGTTCCACATGGCTGGGGAGGCCTCACCATCGTGGCTGAAGGTGAATGAGGAGTGCTGTCTGAATAGCCCACCCCTTAATTTGCATGTAATTAAAACTGGGTATAAATACTGCTAGCCAACGGCCTACGTGCTGCTACTCCGGGCATACTGCCTGAGTCAGCCCTGCTCCACAAGGGGCAGCCACTCTGCCGTGCCCTGCTGCTTCAATAAACCCAGTTTCTTTTACTGCCGGCTGGCTCTTGAATTCTTTCCTGAACAAAGCCAGGAGCCCTCCTGGGCTCACCCCCAATTTGGGGGCTCATCTGCCCTGCATCATCAGCAGAAAAATGGAAACTCAAAGAATCAGAAGGAAAGAGCAGAAATCAAAGTCACCATAAAGAAATGGAAGAATGCCTTTGATAGGTTAATCAGTCATCTGAACATGGCCAAAGGATCAGTAACATGAAGAGGCACACCACAGAGCGGGAGAAAATATCTCCAAAACACAGGTCCAAAGGGCTCCCATGCAGAGTATACAAATCAGTCAGACAAGGAAGGCAATGCGAGTATCCTCTTGTCTAACTCCACACAATTCGTTGCAATATAAACTGTCGAAAACTGGCAGCGTCCGCTGAAAATGAACAAATGCATCTCATACGACCCAGCCATGTCTGTCCAGGGTATGCACTCAAGAGAAATACAGGCACTGTGCACGACCAGAAATATTCAAATGTGCTGATAGCAGTATTCATCACAATAACCCCAAACTGCAAAGTCCAACGGTCATCAATACAAGATGCTGAGATGAATTGTGGAATATTCAAACAAAGGAACAGAATAAAATGTACTAGTTAGAGATACAGGAAACAATATGTATCATCTCATAAAAATATTGGGCAAATAGCCGGGCGCGGTGGCTCAAGCCTGTAATCTCAGCACTTTGGGAGGCCGAGACGGGCGGATCACGAGGTCAGGAGATCGAGACCATCCTGGCTAACACGGTGAAACTCCGTCTCTACTAAAAACACAAAAAACTAGCCGGGCGAGGTGGCGGGCGCCTGTAGTCCCCGCTACTCGGGAGGCTGAGGCAGGAGAATGGCGTGAACCCGGGAGGCGGAGCTTGCAGTGAGCTGAGATCCGGCCACTGCACTCCAGCCTGGGCGACAGAGCAAGACTCCGTCTCAAAAAAAAAAAAAAAAAAAAAAAAATTGGGCAAATTAAAACAGATAAAAGGAAAAAATAAAGAATGCATACTCTATGGTTGCTTTTGCACAGGGCTCAAAAACAGAAAGCCAAGCCATACTGTCAGAGTCAGACTACTGGTTACCTACAGAGCAGAGTGTGTAATTTGGAGGGAAAAATGAGGAGGTATCTGGAATACTGGTAATACTGTCTTGACCTGGTGATTACGTGGAAGTGTTCAGGTGAGTGTTCATGTGGTAACTGGTTTGTACAATTATGAATTAAGCACATTTCTCGCTTTTTTTTTTTTGGTAACGGAGTCTCACTCTGTCGCCCAGGCTGGAGTGCAGTGGCACGATCCCACCTTACTGCAACCTCCACCTCCCGGTTTCAAGTGATTCTCCTGCCTCAGCCTCCCAAGTAGCTGGGATTACAGGTGCCCACCACCATGCCCGGCTAATTTTTGTATTTTTAGTCTCTACTAAATACAGTAGAGTAGAATTTAAATATAAATTCACAGTGTTGGAAAGGCTGGTGTCGAACTCCTGACCTTGTGATCCTCCAGCCTCGGCCTCCCAAAGTGCTGGGATTACAGACATGAGCCACCACGCCTGGCCGAATTAAGCACATTTCTATATGTATGTTACATTTCAATAAAAATCTGTTTTAAAACACACACACACACACAGTATTATTATACAACCACTGTAGAAATGACTTTGGCGTTATACTGATAGGATACACACGCAGAGACCTTACAACCCAGCAACCTCACACTCCTGGAAAAACTTACGAGTGCTCCAGAAGGCATGTACACCTTACAGCAGCACTGCTCATCATCAGGAAAAATGGGAAAATCCAACTGTTCATTCGCAGTTCAAAGCCGAATATTGGGATGACAATAAAAGGATCAGTCTGGAAGTGAAAATAAAACTACGATTATATTCATCAGTGTGACTCTCTCCCACACCACTCCTCCTCCTACTTAACCTGGCTGCCATTACATTTCACTTGAATTCTGCAATGGCCTTCCAACTGGCTTCTGTGCATATCTCCTCCCTCTTTAGCCTCTCCATCCAGAAACCACTGTGATCCTTTTGAAAATTGAAATTGGATAGTTGGCCAGGCACAGTGGCTCAAGCCTGTAATCCCAGCACTTTGGGAGGCCGAGACGGGCGGATCACGAGGTCAGGAGATTGAGACCATCCTGGCTAACACGGTGAAACCCCGTCTCTACTAAAAAGTACAAAAAACTAGCCTGGCGAGGTGGCGGGCGCCTGTAGTCCTAGCTACTTGGGAGGCTGAGGCAGGAGAATGGCGTAAACCTGGGAGGCGGAACTTGCAGTGAGCTGAGATCCGGCCACTGCACTCCAACCTGGGCGACAGAGTGAGACTCCGTCTCAAAAAAAAAAAAAGGAAATTGGATAGTTGTCACTCTTCTGTTCAAGATCTAGTTAACTAGCCAGACACACCTGTGAACCGAGTCTCTAATACAGCTCTGACCTCATCGTCCACGATGCCCGAACTTGCCTCACTCCACCGCACCTGCCCCTCTGCTGTTGCATGGCTGCCCCAAGCACAATTCTTTTTTGTGGCCTTTGAGCTGCCAAGGGTGCTCTTCCCCAGATTAAGGGCGCGTGCTTCCAGTTCCCTGACATCTCTGCTTCAATCCAAGGCTTTCCCTACCCACCTGATAGCTTCCTTCAACCCACATGCTGCCTCTCATCACCATAGTTGTTTCCACTGCATTTACCACCATCTGATACACAATATGTTTACTGGTTTATCACGTGCCCCACCCCAAATAGAAAGTAAGCACCACCAGGGCAAAAATCTGGAATCACTGCTATAGACCCTGGAGACCACAAAACTGTGCCTGCACTGGGCATAAAGGAGGTATAAGCTCCGGAGGCAGACAACAGGGGTCAAAGGCAAACACTGCCACCAGCTAACAGGCTGACCTCAGACAAGTACACCTCAACTTTCTTACCTCAGATTCCCCATATGCAAAACAGAGATGCTGACAGTACCTGTCACCTTGAGCTTTTGTGAAAACTAATATATCTCTAAGTCAAGAAGATATAAACAAAGAGTTGCAATATAATGTGAAAGATCGGTGTAACCGGATGAAAAAACTGATATCCCACAATTAAAAATATACATATTCCACCCACACGTTTAGGTACTAGTTATACAACTCACCAATGGGCCAGGTGTGGTGGCTCATGCCTGTAATCCCAGCACTTTGGGAGGCCGAGGTGGGAGGATCACAAGGTCAAGAGATCGAGACCATCCTGGCCAACATGGTGAAACCCTGTCTCTACTAAAAATACAAAAACTAGCTGGGTGTGGTGGCATGTGCCTGTAGTCCTAGCTACTCGAGAGCCTGAGGCAGGAGAATCACTTGAAGGCAACATAGGGAGACCCCCATCTCAAAACAAATAAATTTAAAAGAAAAACAATGAAATAGCCATAGCAGCTTAAACCAATAATCAGTTTTATTTTTTCTGATGTGAGAGAAGTCCGGAAGTCCAGGGCTGGTGCAGACACTCAAAGAAGCCACAGGGTAGGCCAGGGTCACTGTGGGCTTTCTGCAGTCACTTCCTTATACTGTGGCTTTCATCTGCACGGTCGTAAGGTGGATCTTCCAATACTAGGTACTGGATCTCTTTGCAAGGTGAAAAGTAGGGGGTAAAGCAAAGAACAAAACATACGGGGAGGAATTCAGGTTTAAGAATGACCCCTGTTCAAGAGCTTTCTCAGAAGCCCACGTGGGGACATCTGCTGATCTGTCAGTGGCCAGGGCTGTGGGACATGGATGGTACCAGCTGCAAGAAAACCTGTAAGAGATTTTTTTAAATTTAGATTAGCACACTTTACTAATCTGACAGAACCTGGATTCTCTTGATAATGGAAAAAGATAAGAGTGGATACCAGGGAAGCCACTAGAAGTATCTGTCTTGGCTGGACAGCAGGCTGCAAACCTGCCACCACTTCATGGAGGCATCGTGCTCTGGTCGCAATCCGTGTGCATCAGGTACCGGTAACAAACCGGTACTGAGAAGTAGCCCCATGTCACACAGATCTAAATATGCCATTGGTCAAGGGCGTTGTCCAAAAGGAAATTAGGACGTTATCAAGGATGAAGCTATAGTAAAAATACTATATACAAACCTTTCTTGATGAGGCTTAAGGGTTATTTAGAGGAGTGTAACCTTAAAAATAAAGACAGAAAATTTATGAGCGGGACTCCGTGTTCATGATGAAAGGGTAAGTGCAATCCCGTATTCACCGGAAAATCTCGTTGGGGCTTCTCTCCCAGTGAGAATGTTCCCATGCACAAGTGAGGGGACCATGGCTGGAATCATTTCCACATAGGAATTATCAGCGCTAATTGTGTTTTTTAAGTTTTGTAAAAGAAATTTCTCCTGGCGTAAGTGCTCACAAGATTCATAAAAACAGAGGGGTTGCTGCAGGCAGTAACTGAGGAATGACTGCATGATTATTTTCAAGCTCAGCAACAGTGACGTTTGGGGGCACGAATTCTTCGTTGTGGGGGGCTCCTGTGCACTGGAGGGGACTTAGCAGCATCCTGGTGTCTTCTTACTACAAGTCAGGAGTGTCTTCCCCCAGTTCTAACCACCAAAAATGTCTCTAGACATTGCCAAATGACGCCTGGACAGCCAAATCGCCGCCCGGCTGAGAACCCATGCTGTAGACCAAGGGTCGGCCAAGTTTTTCTGGAAAGGGGCAGATGACAGGAAGTATTTCAGACTTCACTGGCCACAAATGTTCTCTATCAAACATTCTTCCTTCTTAAAGGTGGAACCACTATTGTTAGCTGGCAAACCATACAAGACAGGCAGCTGGCTGTGGTTTGCCGCCCGTTCATGACCTTCCCACGTTCCTTACTTGACTGATTTCTCTCTTCAGTGTGATTTCTGTCATGAGGACTCCAGTGAGACTAGGAAGGGTTTCCCCAGCCACTGCATTTACAGAGATGCTCCCTAGTGTGCTTATTATTACTCATGGACCCAGAAGGCTAGAAGTGGTCCGAAGTCATTTTGACATTAAATGCCAAGCTGGGACTTTGACATTAAATGCCAAGCTGCCATTAAGTCCTCCTGTGTTTGTTAAGAGCCGAATGTACCCTGAAGGCTTCTCCTTGCTACAGACGTACATTTTCACCCCCAGCGTGAGTTCTCACAAACCTCTTATGGGATGAGAACGCCTCGTCTTCCCACAGTTTTTACAGGAATTGGACTTCTCCCAAGTTCCGTGGATTCTTTTGCACCCAGTAAGGTGCGAGCTCACAGAGGCTTCCTCTTGCACCCACGAGGTCTGCTTCCGGTCTGAGTCATCCTGTGTCTTTAAAGCAGGCGCGCTCACTGGAGCCTTTTCCACACAGACGACACAAAGAGCTTCTCTCCCCGGTGAGTCTTCACGTGGCTCCTGAGGGATGAGTGGTCGCTGAAGGCTTTCCCGCAGACAAGGCATTCGTAGGGCTTCTCCCCAGTGTGGATCCTCCTGTGCACGTTCAGGTTGGAGCCTATGCTGAAGGCCTTCCCACAGTGATCGCATTCGTACGGTTTCTCCCCCGTGTGGCTTCGCATGTGCGTCTTCAGCGTTGACTGGTTCCTGAAGGCCTTGCCACACTGCCTACACTCAACGCGTTTCTTTACCAGGTGAATGCTCATGTGCCTCCGCCGGGATAAATAGTCACCGAAGACTTTCCCGCAGGCGGCGCATTCGTAGCGTCTCTCTTGCGTGTGTATCTTCCTGTGTGCCGTGAGGTTTGAACTCGCGCTGAAGGCTTTCCCGCAGAGATCGCACCCGTATGGTTTCTCTCCAGTGTGAGAGTTCATGTGAGTCTTAAGGATGGACTGGTTTCGGAAGGTCTTCCCGCACTGCCGACATTCCACGGGTTTCTTGACGATGTGAGTTCTCATGTGTTTCCTCCGGGACACGAGGTCGCCAAAGGATTTCCCGCATTCTTTACATTCGTAGGTCTTCTCCACCATGTGGTTCTTCTTGTGCAAATTAAAGTTCGACTTCCAGCGGAAGGCTTTGCCGCACTGCGTGCACGCATAGGGCTTCTCCCCCGTGTGATTCCGCACGTGCTCTTTGAGGTGGGAGGGATGCTGGAAAGCCTTCCCACAGTCGTGACACTCGTAGGGCCTCTCTCCGGTGTGGGTTCTCTTGTGTGCAATGAGGTGGCAGCTCCGGCCGTACGCCTTCCCGCACTGATCGCACTTGTAAGGCCTCTCACCAGTGTGGACTCTCATGTGGATTTTCAGGGCCGAGAGGGTCCGGAATGCATTTCCACACTGACTGCAGTCAAAGGGCTTCTCTTTGAGGTGAGTTCTTGCGTGGCTCCTAAGGGCTGAAGGGTCGTTGAAGGCTTTCCCGCAGTCGCTGCACTCGTAAGGCTTCTCCCCCGTGTGGATTCTCCTGTGCCGTGTGAGGGACGCGCTCGTGGTGAAGGCTTTTTGGCACTGATGACATTCGTGCATTTTTCTCCCGTCGTACATGCTCACGTGCTGAGTGAGGTGCGGCCTGCCCTTGAACGCTACCCCATAGTCGCGGCGGTGATAGGGCCTCTTGCCAGCGTGCCTTCCCATTGGCTGAGTGAGATGAGGGCCCATGCCGAAGACTTCCAACAAGTGAGCGTATTCGGTGGACTTCTCTGCAAGACCGGCTCTTTCCTGTTGGTTAAGACATGAGTGTTAAGGCAATTCTCATATTCATTATAACCCTAAGCGTCATCCCCACATACACTGCTATGAACAGATAGAAGCGCATTACTATGACTAGAGCTGTCACCATCTGCCGGGCAGACATGTTTTCCCTACCCCGTTTGAGCTCCATCAAAGACAACAGGTGAATGCCAGGCCACAAGGCGCCACGTATGTTACTTTTTGTTTTGTTTTTTGTTTGTTTGTTTGTTTTGAGACGGAGTCTCGCTCTGTCGCCCAGGCTGGAGTGCAGTGGCACAATCTTGGCTCACTGCAGCTCCGCCTCCCGGGTTCACGCCATTCTCCTGCCTCCTGAGTATCTGGGACTACAGACGCCCACCACCGCGCCCAGCTAATTTTTTGTATTGTTAGTGGAGATGGGGTTTCACTGTGTTAGCCAGGATGGTCTCACTCTCCTGACCTCGTGATCCACCCGCCTCAGCCTCCCAAAGTGCTGGGATTACAGGTGTGAGCCACCGCGCCAGGCCCACATATGTTACTTTTTCAAAGCTTTTGGTGCATGGCATTTCTTCACTGTTTAAGATTGAATTGACCCTGGGTGCAGTGGTGCCAGCCTGGCATCCCAGCACTTTGGGAGGCTAAGGCAGGTGGACCACCTGGGGTCAGGAGTTCAAGACCAGCCTGGGTAACATGGTGAAACCCCATCTCTACTAAAAATACAAAAATTAGCCGGGCATGGTGGTGCGCACCTGTAATCCCAGCTACTGGGGAGGGTGGCACAGGAGAATCACTTGAGCCTGAAAGGTAGAGATTGCAGTGAGCTGAGATGGTGCCACTGCACTCCAGCCTGGGTGACAAGAGCAAGACTCTGTCTCAAAAAACAAACAAACAAAAAAAAACACACTGAATTGAGGCTGGGTGTGGTGGCTCAAGTCTATAATCCCAGCACTTTGGGAGACCAACGCAAGTAGATCGCTTGAGGCCAGGAGTTCAAGACCAGCCTGGGCAACATGGTGAAATCCTATCTCTGCGAAAGATAGAAAAATTAGCCAAGTGTGGTGGCACACACCTATAGTCCCAGCTGCTCAGGAGGCTGAGGTGGGAGGATGGCTTGAGACTGGGGGGCAGAGGTTGCAGTGAGCCAAGATGGTGCCACTGTACTCCAGCCTGGGCAACAAGAGCGAGACTCTGCCCCCCAAAAAATAAATAAACACCACCAAAACTGAATTGATATATAAGTGTACAACATAAATAAAAAATAAAACAAAAACTGCATTGAGCCCCAACACTCAATATCTGAGACATAGCTACAAAAATCTTTGCTCAGAGGCACTTTAGGTGAAGTAGTCTGTTAGGTTTAGGGTTGTCCCCAACTTGGTAATACCCAATGTCTCTGAAACACAGTTTCCTCTGAGGACAGCTGCTTGCCCTGGTGTTTGAACTGCTTTTCTAACCTAGGCTGCCCCAGTCTCCTCAGATGTGGAAGGAAGATCCAGAATGATCCCAAGGAAATCTTACCATTGTCACACCACTGGGCGTTTCCTTCCCAAAAATATCTTCCATAAGAAGTGACCACTTGGTTTTAGATGGAGTCTCCCAATCTGAAACAAATTGGAAAAGTATTAATTTGTTGGAAAAGGAAAATGGTGGGATGACGGTACAATGACACGTGGATTTCTTGGCAGATCCTAGGGCTATGTAAGGAAAAGTGATGTAAAAGCAATTGTTAAAAAATCTGGTCATGTGAGATACTTGGCAATGCCAGGGGTAGAAATTTAAGTCAATTCAGGCCTGGCGCGATGGCTTATGCCTGTAATCCCAGAACTTTGGGAGGATGAGGCGGGTGGATCACCTGAGGTCAGGTTTTCGAGACCAGCCTGGCCAATGTGGTGAAACCCCATCTCTACTAATAATACTAAAATTAGCTGGGTGTGGTGGTGTCATGCCTGTAGTCCCAGCTACTCTGGAGGCTGAGGCAGGAGAATCACTTGAACCTAGGAGGCAGAGGTTGCAGTGAGCTGAGATCACACCACTGCACTCCAGCCTGGCAACAGAGTGAGACTCTGTCTCAAAAAAAAAAAAAAAAAAAAAAAAAAGAAATTTAAGGCAATTCTGATATATGTTGATAATGACAGAAAGAAGATGATCAGGAACATCAAATATGAAAGAATGGGACAAAGAGCCCAATAATGGGAATGTGAAAGTCAAAGATGAAGGAGTGTGTGGACCAAAAGATTTGTCAGAGAATGGATGGGCAAAAAGAGGGAAAGAACATCTCTCAGTTTCCCTGGATGACACTCCCTAACCTACCTCCCTCCACCCCAGTCACTGAATAGAGGTAGAGTCACAGCACCGCTGTTCGCCTGGGGCTCGCTCACCTGCACAAGCGCCCTGGTGAGTGCCCCTCTCCTCTGTCCTCGGCTCCTCCTCCTGCTCCAAGTGTGAGATGAGGCTGGGTTTGCCGACCTGATACCCTACACTCACGGGAAAGACACAGGTTGAGGGAGGGCCGTGCAGAGGACAACCAGTTCCATTAGCCTGGGCTCAACACTTGGGTCTTCAGTGTTCTGAGGGTGGACAAGTCTGACTTAGGAGCAGCAAAATGGTGGTGCCAAAATTTCTAAGGGATACAGTAAAAGTTTTTGATTGATAGAAAACAAAACCGCAGGCTAGGCATAGTGGCTCGTGCCTGTAGCCAGGAGTTCAAGATCAGTCTGGGCAACACAGTGAGACTCCTTCATCACCAAAAATAAATTAAAAAAAAAAAAAAAAAGAAATAGGAAATAAGATCACAAATACCCACACACTGATCCTCTAAAAGAGTGGGGATTTCATATCTCAGAAGCCCGTGCCCAAGCTCAGACACGCACTGAGAACCCCCAAGGTGCCTGCGATGGACAGGCCTCAATACCCAGGAGAGGCCCCATGAGCATGGGTGCTGGGGCTGCTTGTTCACGGCTGTGTTCTGAACCCCTGTATAGTTCCTGGGTCACAGAACATACTCAAACAAAAACATCTAATTCATGAATGAATAAGTGGAGAAATGGCACTGGCCTTACCCAGTGAAGTGAGGTTGCTGTAGTTCTCCAGCATTACATCTTTGTACAGTTTTCTCTGAGAAGAATCCAGCAAGGGCCACTCCTTCTCGGTAAAGTCCACGGCGACATCTTGGAAAGTCACCGATTCCTGAAACGCCACACAAACTTGGGGTCAGCAAGGAACACAAACTTGGGGTCAGCCTAATGGTGTTCATGGTAAGATGGCTGAGGCTGAAGACCAGGCATAAGAGACCCAACACAGGATTTCCAGATGGCCTGCTACGGGGCTCAACATTTCCTCCAGGCGACAGTCCTCAGACATCCTCTCTCCCCGATGAGGCCGTCTTGTCCTGTCCCGTCGCTTCAAATGCAACCCTGACAAGGGACTCTTCTCCCTCCGCTTATAACCCACTCCGAGAGCTTTTCGCTTTATTTCCCCCTGTCTCTGGGGTTAAGCATGGGCCTGAGCATTTTGCAAGCATGAGGGAGACAGGTGCTACATAAATCACTTCCCCTGACTTCCCCAACACCAAGACAGCCCCACTATTCCTTGGCTCTCTCTTGGGCCCCGTTCTGGCATCCATTGCCTGAGATGAAGCTCTGAAAGAATTCCAGCATGCACTGGTGGGGTGCTTTAGGAAGTGCCTCTCCTGCTCTAGGGACCCAGAGATCTTAGTGCACCTGAGAACCAACACTGGGCGTGTGAGGCTCCAGACCACTGCACGCAAACAGGTCCAAATTCTGGGGACAGGAACGGTCTTTTGAAGAAAGAGAAAATTCTGACTCCTGGAGACAGGTGGAGTCCTGGGTGGACATGGCTGGAGGAGAAAAGAGGGTTCATGAGAATCAGAGCCCGCCCTGCCTCATAATACAACACTTGCAAACCAGGAAACTGCTCCACACTGACTCTGAGTGTTCACATCCTCAGTCCTCTCTCTCTCTCTTCCTCCCCCCACCTCTCTTGCACACATCAGTTTCATAACAAGTCAGAGCAGCCCTGTTCCACCAAAAACAGAAAGAGGGTGGTGGGCTACGTACTCCCAAGAAGTGACACAGTCCCAGCCCAGGAGTGAAGAAATAGGCAAGCTCTGAGAGCTAGTTGTGACCTTGCTGAAGTTGATCAAAATAATAAATGGGATAACGCAGGGTTACCCATTACCTGCATCCTCGTCACGCATCAATGACACAGACACTCCCCCGCCCCCAGACCCACCAAGACCCTCAGCAGACACAGTCACTGGGGCGGTTGCTGGGGCTCTGTTCCCACCCCTTTTCTACTCGCCCATCCTCTCCCAGAAGCCCTCTATGGTGCACGTATCTTGCACCCCATCAAGTGGCAGGGGCCTCTTACGCTCACTTTCTCAGGGCATGCACTGACCCAAGAACTTACCAAATGTGGGGGACAGAGCTGCCATCCTCAGAGAATGGCGGTCAATTTGCCTGAGCAGGGCACCGGGACAGCCAGGAAGCTACTTTCTTGCTCTCATGTGACTCTCCAAGCTGGCATCTGTAGCAAATGAAAGAACACCGGGAGTAGTCAAAGGCTATCTGTCTCTCCTGCTCACCGAAGAAAACTCCCAGTTTTGTTTTTTGGCATTTCCTCTTTTGAGCAGCAAGAGCTGCCTGATCCTGGACTTTTATCTTACTTAGGTAAACTCTCCCAGCAATGTGGTGGGGGGACAGCCCCCGATCTGCTGTAAGTGAGTTCAGAATTACTCTTCCTAAGTGATTTGCCACCAGGCACGACTCTGTGAAACTCCCTCGCTCGTTAAACACTCTGGTCCTAGACTTCTGCTCTTCCTTTACCTTCAAGGCCTGCGATCATTTAGGACGGCTCTATCCATGAAGATGGTCCACCCAGGACCAACCATGAGTTCCAAACTCCAATGCCCTTTGCAACCACATTCCACACCAATATATACATCCTTGGGCCACGGCCTGGACGGCATTATCACTAGAGTCAGCCTCACCTCACAGGCAATGGTTTGGAAATCTGCATTCTGGGCAAAGTCTCCCATGCAACCTTCTTTTCACATCAACTCTCTCGCTTCAGAGATTCACGGCCACCTATGCTTCTGCCAATTTGCTCCCTAATGGCCACCTCCTCCACTCACTGAATCTGAATTTAAAAGTCTTTTGAGATGAATCAGACACTTACAAATTCATACAGAACATATTCAGTGAGCTATGATCATGTACTCCAGCCTGGGCAATAGAGTGAGATTCCGTCTCTAAAAACAGAAAAAATAAAAAGAAAAAATAAAAACAAAAAAAAGAAAAAAGAAAAATGAACAGTGAACAGTGAACCACGGATTGGGAAAAAATATCTGCAATGCATACACCTGAAAAAGAATTCATGTTCAGATTAAAGAACTCTACATAGGAGTGCAAAAGGTTTATTGGAAAAAATAAAAAGAACTCCTTCAAAACAGCAAGAAAAAAAGAACATTGACCCAACAAAAGGGGCAAACGACTTTAATTAATAAACAGACATTTCACAAAACCAGTAAGAATCACATCCAAGGGTGCTGAACCTCACAGTAATTAGAGAAATGCAAATTAAAACTAGAGCGGCCAAAATAAAAAAGACAACCAATACTAAATGCTGCTGAGTTTGGGACACACTGGCAACTCTCATATCCCGATGGTGGGACTGTGAAATAGTTCAACTGCTTTGGAAAACACTTTGGCAGTTTTTTTTTCTTCTTCTGAGACGGAGTCTTGCTCAGTCGCCCAGGCTGGAGTGCAGTGGTGTGATCTCGGCTCACTGCAAGCTCCGCCTGCCGGGTTCATACCATTCTCCTGCCTCAGCCTCCTGAGTAGCTGGGACTACAGGTGCCCGCCACCACGCCCAACTAATTTTTTTTTGTATTTTTAGTAGAGACGGGATTTCACCGTGTTAGCCAGGATGGTCTCGATCTCCTGACCTTGTGATCCACCCACCTCAGCCTCCCAAAGTGCTGGGATTACAGGTGTAGCCACCGCGCCCGGCCCACTTTGGCAGTTTTTAACAAGCACACCATCTGTCTGACCCACCAATTCTGTTCCTAGATATTTAAATAAGAGAAATTTCAAACAATTTATATCCACAAAGACTCATACAAAAATGTCTGTGTTAGTCTGATTCCTAACAGCCAAACACTGTAAACAATCTAAACATCTATCAACCAGATAATGGAAATACAAATTGCAATATGTTTACAGAATGGAATACTGCTCAGCAATAAAAAGAAACTATGCAGACACACTACATGAAGAAATCCCTACAATGCTAGTCCAAAGAAGCTGGACACACAAGAAATGCTCTGACTGCAATAATATGATGTCCATGATGGCAAAACATATTTAAGTTGATAGAATTGAAAAAACAAAACAAAAAAAAAGATTGCTTCATTGGAGGATCACAAGACAGGGACAGACTGAAAGAAGCAAAGGGAACTTTCTAGGGTGATAAAATGTTATTTATTTTCAGATATACAGTGTACACAATTGTCAAAAATCCAAACTGATCACCTAAGACCAGTGCATTTTCTTGAACATATATTAAACTCTGCTAAAAAAAAAAAAAAAAAAAAAAAAGAGGCTTTCTTACCTTCTTGCTTCTAGTTATTTCAATATTCTTCTCACAACTGATCTATGACCTCCTCCTTTCCTTCTATGACAGACAAACAGATGTCTGCCCTCCCTTCTTGAGGCAATTCTTTCAAATCTGCTCCAGGCCCATCCCCTTCTCTGGACCCTCTCACTACCTGGCTCTCCTTTACTTTCAGCCTCATTTCTCTCCTGCTAGACAATTTCCCATGCATGGACATGTGCTCAGGTCTATCCTATCTTGAAACGAATGCCTGCCCTGACTCCCCTTAGCACCCCCTTCCAAGCAAAAACTTAAGAGCAGTTTATATTCACCATCTCCCAATTCAGTATACCCAGTATCCACTACCATCATCCCCATCCTCACAGAAAATACAATTTACTCCTGTGTCAGTGAATCCAGTAAATGCACTTCAGTCTTAGATTCTCACCAAAATTTGGTGTCTATTTTCTTTAAGAATAATTCTCTATTCTCGGCTCCTCTACAACTGTCTCCTGGTTCTTTCCCTGCTTCTCTGGATCATCTGACCAGAGGTCCTCTTTCACCACGAAAGGCTGATTCCACTCAAGAGCCACCATTCCTCCACATGCCTCATGCTTTGCCCAGGCAATCACACCCACTCATTTAACCTGAATCCCCATCTCTAACACTTAAGTTCCAGCAGGAACTCGAGATCGTATTCCCTTTGCCTAGGAAAAGCCACCAGTAAGACATCTCATACAAAAACCAGTTCCAGTCAGGTGCAGTGGCTCCCGCCTGTAATCCCAGCACTCTGGGAGGCCGAGGTGGGTGGATCACCTGAGGTCAAGAGTTGGAGACCAGTCTGACCAACATAGAGAAACCCCGTCTCTACTAAAAATGCAAAAAATTAGTTGGGCATGGTGGTGCATGACTGTAACCCCAGCTACTTGGGAGGCTGGGGCAAGAGAATCATTTGAAACAGGGAGGTGGAGGTTGAGGTGAGTAGAGATCACACCACTACACTCTAGCCTGGGCAACAAAGTGAGACTCCGTCTCAAAAAAAAACAAAAACAAAAACAAACAAACAAACAAAAACCAACAACAAAAAAAACACAAACAAAAAAAACTACCTTGATACATTAAAACTAGGGAAAGCAAAAGTAAAGACATAAAGATTAAAGCAGAGATAAATGAAATAGAGAACAGAAGGAGAATTAATGAAAACAAAAGTTGGTTCTTTCAAAAAGATCAACAGAAGTGACAAAACTACAGCTAGAATTACTAACAAAAAAAGATGCAAGTAACTAAAATCATCAGTGGAAGTGGGACATTACTACCGACCTTACAGAAATTGAAAGGGTTGTAAGAGAATGCCATGAACAATTATGCACCAACACATTAGATTATCTACACTAGCAGTGTGCACTTTATTTCCATTATTATTACATTGTAATATATGGTAAAATAATTATACAACTCACCATAATGTAGAATCAGTGAATGCCCTGAGTGTGTTTTCCTGAAACTAGATGGTCCCATCTGGAGGTGATGGGAGACACTGACAGATCATCAGGCATTAGATTTTCATAAGCAGTGTGCAATCTAGATCCCTCACACGTGCAGTACACAATAGGGTTTGCACTCCTATGAGAATCTAATGCTGCTGCCAATCTGACAGGAGGTGGAGTTCAGGTGGTAATGTGAGCGATGGGGAGCTGCTGTAAATACAGATGAAGCTTCACACTCACCTGCCCTCCGTTCCCCTCCTGCTGAAGGGCCTGGTTCTTAAAAGGCCAGGGACTGGTACCCGTCTGTGGCCCAGGGCTTGGGGACCACTGCTCTAGATGTATCAAATTCCTTGAAACATACCCAAACAAGCTCTAGAAGAAAAAGAAAATTGACAGACCTATAACAAGAGACTGAGTCAGTCATCAAAAGCCATTAAATAAAAAGTCCAGGACCACTAGGCGCGGTGGCTCACACCTGTAATCCTGGCATTTTGGGAGGCTGAGATGGGCAGATCACCTGAGGTCTGGAGTTCGAGACCAGCTGGGCCAACATGGTGAAACTCCGTCTCTACTAAAAATACAAAAATTAGCTGGGCATGGTGCCAGGCGCCTGTAATCCCAGCTACTCAGGAGGCTGAGGCAGAAGAATCACTTGAACCTGGGAGGTGGAGGTTGCAGTGTGCCGAGATCACACCATTGTACTCCAGCCTGGGGGACAAGAACAAGATTTCTCTCAGAAAAAAAAAAAAAAACCCAAAAAAACACAAAACTCCAGGACCAAGTGGCTTCACTGGCAAACCCTACCAAACATTTAGAATTAACGTCAAGGACATTATCAAGAAAGTGAATGAGACACAGAATGGTAGAAAATATTTGGAAATCATGTATGTGATAGGGATTTAATACCATTATAAACTCAACAACAAAGACAATTCAATAAAAAAGTGTGCAGGGGACTGGAACAGAACAGACATTTCTTCAAATATATACAAATGAACTGTAAACACATGAAAAGACGATTAACAGCATCAGTCATTAAGGAAATAACATCAAAACCACAATAAATTGGCGAGGTATGGTGGCCCACACCTCGGGAGGGGATTTAATTTGCTTTGTATGAACCTGTCTCCTCTGTGTGGTTTCCACTGCGACTCGCATAACTGCACTGAGGTAAGGAACGTGACGCTGCTACTTTAACATCTGACTCAGGTCAATAATCAATATCTCCACTTTGAAACATTACCAGGGTTATAACAATCTTTCTCGACATCAATGAATACTTCTGCTATTGGAATTGTTTTAGATACTCAGAAACTTTCAAAACAATAATATATGAAGTGTGTTTTAATGTATAAACTCTGCCTTGGGGATTCATTATTCAACACCAAATTTGATCTTGGGCCAACTCGAAGATGCATGACGTTTTCGTTCTTTTTACAAAGCCCTTTCCCAGTCATTGTGCCTTTAGGTTCCAACATTGAATCACTGCTGAGGAGGGGGAGAGAGGGTGACAGAGGCTTAGTCACTGAGGCACAGTATCTCCATCCTCACCTCCCATTCATTCATTCATGCTCAACTAACAAGCTTCTGCAGGTCCCATTCCACCTCTCCCCACCAACATTAATGCCAATTCTACAGATAACAACATGTGTAGTGTTTACGGTGTACAAGGTACGAGACATTCTCCTGAGTCTTTCCAGGGCCATTCCTATTTAATCCTCGCAACCTCCCAGAATTATTCTCAAGTACCCAGAGAATAAGGCACCAAGGGACCGAGTCACTTGGTTAAGGTCATAGGTGGAAGTTGTGAACCCGGCAGATGCGACTGCAGAGCCACATCTTGTTGCGTCTCAAAATGATCTATGTCACCTATACAGTCCCCTGTGTGGGAACCCCTGACAGCACATCTTGACCGTTCCTCTGCCTGACCTCCTGACACACGACCGTGCTCACTATGAATCTATCTCCCTCTTCCTGGGAATGCCACTGCTCTTGCAGCTGTGGGTCCCAGGCTGTCCTCACATCTCCGGTTGCTCTTTTGAAGACTCTGGCTTGAGATCCCTCCTCTGCCTAGCCCCTAAAGGTCAGCGTTCCCCTGGGCCTCTTCTCCCCGATCTCCCACGGGTCCATATTGTGAAATACCCCCCAATCTTTGGGGGTGCTGACACCAAGGTTCTGATTGCACTTCTGTGAAGGTCTACTTGTCCCTGAGGCCTCAGGTGACTCCCCTTTGATGCAAGCCCACAGTTCTGCCCCTTCCCCTCCAAGAGTGGGTTCATCAAAACTCAGTTTTCTCGGCTGGGTGCAGTGGCTCATGCCTGTAATCCCAGCACTTTGGGAGGCTGAGGCAGGCGAATCACCTGAGGTCAGGAATTCGAGGCCAGCCTGTCCAGCATGGCAAAACCCCGTCTCTATTAAAAATACAAAACTTAGCTGGGCATGGTGGTGGGTGCCTGTAATCCCAGCTACTCGGGAGGCTAAGGCAGGAGAATCGCATGAACCCAGGAGGCAGAGGCTGCAGTGAACTGAGATCGCGCCATTGCACTCCAGCCTGGGTGACAGAGTGAGACTCTGTCTCAAAACAAAACAAAACAAAAAACTCAGTTTTCTCAACTGGAAACTGAAGACTTCAATATAGGGCTATGTATGGAACTCTATAGGCTCAGTAAACAAACATTCACTCTAAAATGCCATCATCATTACAATAAAATGACCACTGATGATTTCACAATTACTTAACAGAATTGTTCATTTACAGTGGGTGCCACTCTCCGCTCCCTGACACCTGCCCCACCCAGAATGACTCAGAGTGAGTGGCAGCCAGGTGGCTACTTAGTATCCCTACTGCAACGGTCAACAGGACCCCACACTAAACACCTAAAACTGTGCTGTCACCAGCCTCCCCACATTGATGGCAGCTCCAGCCTCCCAGGGGCTCAAGTCAAAAGCCTTGCGCGTCATCACCTTTGACTCTCCTCTTTCTTTTCTGTACTCCACATCTGCATTGCCAGCAAATCCTGCCAGCTTTATCTTTAAAACTTAATCCAAAAATCTGGTTGCTTCTCACCACCTACACTGCTACTGCCTTGGCATAAGGCATTGCTTCCCTTCTAGAACATTCCAGCCACTTCCTAACTGGTCTCCTGGCTGCTGTCCCTGACTTCCCTTAGCTTCCATGGCAGCCATAACTTTATGGGTAAAATGTAGATCACATCGCTCCTCTGTTCAAGATCCTCTGACGGTGTCCCATCTCACTCAGACCAAGGGCCCAGATCCCTGCCGCCTCACTCACAACTCCCTCTGCCACCGGACCCCCACCCAAGCCACGCAAGCCTCACTGCTGTGCATCAGTGCACAGCCATTCCCCCGCCCGCCAGCCATGCTCCCACCTGAGGGTCTTTGCACCTGCTGCTTCACTGCTTGAAATGTTTCCCGCACATTCTCCGTGTGCCGGGCCCCCTCCCATCCTTCAGATCTTTATTCAACTTTCCCTGTCCTGATCTGGCATTCACTGACCACTCTTTTCTTTTTTAAGAGATGGAGTCTCGCTCTGTCGCCCAGGCTGGAGTGCAGTGGTGCGATCTCAGCTCACTGCAACCTGCACCTCCTGGGTTCAAGTGATTCTCCTGCCTTAGCCTCCCAAGTAGCTGGGACTACAGGTGCACCCCACTGTGTCTGGCTAATTTTTATACTTTTAGTAGAGACAGGGTTTCACCGTCTTGGCCAGGCTGGTCCTGAACTGACCTCAGCTGATCTGCCCACCTTGACCACTCTTTAAAATGCAAACCCCTGCTTCTTTCAATCCCAGTTCTCCACTCCTTTTCCTTTTCCCCAAAGCACTAATCTCCAAGTAATATTCTGTGTAAGAAAGATTAGGCTCTATTTTTTACTGCAAAAACAGACAAGCCCAAATCTCAAGGACTCAATACAATGGAAAGTTTATGCCTTGCTCATGTCACTTGTTCAACCCAGGCTGGTGTCAAAAGTTTTCCTGCTGCTCAAGGATGCCACTTGTCTCTGAACCAACTGACACCCTTAGCCATCTTGGTCACACATGATGAGCAGGAAGCTGGACAACTATGCATTCTGTCGTCTATATTTTGACCCTGAAGCACTCGCAGCCCACTGGCCAGAATTAGTCACATGCCCCTGCCAGCTCCAAGGATCCTGGGAAATGTAGGACAGCACACAGAACACTGGGTAAGCATTATTATCTCTCTGCTGTCTCCTCCATGCACACTACGTAGTTTACTTGTTTTGATTTCCTGGGTGCCCCACTAAAAAATACATTCCAGGTAAGCAGGGACTTTTTACTTTGCTGATATTTTGTTCACCATTCCAGTGCCTGATATAAATAAGACAATAAGTAGGGAATGAAAGAATGAATGGATGATGAGCAAGCTGATCTACATTTGCCTTCATACTGAGACAGCCACCCAGGGGATGCCACCTTGGGAGGACCATAAAGGAGGGGCCTATGGAATGTAGGGGGTCTGGGATCTCCTCAGAAGGTCCTGTGAAATTAAACAGTAACCCAGGTACTAGGACACAGTCCCATGGCTTTGCCCAACACCCTGGGGCCAACATCCACCACCATCCTCCAGGAGGGACAAGGTGCCCAGAGGGCTGGAGCTTAGAGAGTGCACCCACATCAATTAAAAGTCTGTGGAACCTTGTTGATATTTTGCAATGATGCAAACCAGAGCTCAGAGTGGAGCTTCTGGCCAATTTCTCACCTGAGTGATTCTATCACTTTCAGGGGTTGTCAGTGCTGGGTGATGGTGTATTAGTCCATTCTTGCACTGCGATAAAAGAAATACTTGAGACTGGGTAATTTATAGGAAAAGAGGTTTAATTGGCTTACAGTTCTACAGGCTCTACAGGAAGCATAGTGGTATCTGCTTCTGGGGAGGTCTCGGGAAGCTTCCAATCATAGAAAGCAAAAGGGAAGCAGGAAAGGCACATGGTGAAGCAGGAGCAAGAGAGCAAGGGGCGGGGGCGGGAAGGTGCCACACACTTTTAAATGACTGGATCTCAGGAGAACTCATTCACTATCATGAGCACAGTATCAAGGGGGATGGTGCCAAACCATTCATGAGAAATCCGCCCCCATAATCCAATTGCCTCCCACCAGGCCCCACCTCCAACATTGGGAATTACATTTCCATATGAGATGTGGGCGGGGATACACATCCAAACTGTATCGGAGTCTCAAAGAACTGGTGGCCCTGAATACAAAGGAAGCAGGAAGATTTCAGCATCTAGGCGACCCCAGCAGGATGTGGAGCAGGGAGTCTAGAACAGCTGTAGGATCCATGAACTGAGAGAGACGTTGTGCCCCGTTTCTACATGATAAGTGAAACAAAACCAGG